TAGAAAGTGGCATCTGTACTGCTTGTGTACAGGCTTTTGTCTTGGCACTATTCCCTGAAGAATACATTAGAACAAGTATTTACATTGTATTAGGGATGATAACTCTAGAGATGATTTGAGGTGTAGGGGAGGATTGTGTAAGTTATAGCGAGCACCAAGGGACCTGAGCAGGGTGTTGATGTCCGTGGGGGTCTTGGAGTTCATCCCCCTTGGGTGCAGGGGGACAGCGATATCAGTAATCACTTCCCCACCTCCAATACCTTCTTTGGGGGCAAGGCAGGTGAGTTGTTTCCTGTTCCTACCTAAGGCTTTCATGGATTCCCCAGGCGCCCATCCCCTTGCCCAGCTCACCCCGCCCCTTCCCCTGCTCTGCCCCTCCCCCAGCCCTTCATCTTCCTCTCCTCTGGCTGCCAGATGCTGCCGGGCCCATGACTGCTGCTACCTGAAGCTGAAGGAGCTCGGCTGCCAGCCCTTGTTGAACAGCTACCAGTTCCACACCCTCAACGGAACAGTGACCTGTAAGTAGCTTTCTCTGCAGCAAAATATCTTCGAACCTCAGTCTTTCCTTAACCTCCTCCTTGATCCAGTGGTCTTTTGGGAAATGGGACTTTCTCAGGCGCTGTGAGATGGAAAAAGGCAATGGTGAGAACCGGGGCTTCTTGGGAAGTCCCTGCCTTGGTATCTTTTATCCACCAGGCTCTCTCTAGCACCTCAGGGAGTCCAGAGCGTGGCACGTAATACCTACTCAATTAAGTGTTGCCTGGAGATTGCATAGGCTTTGCAGCTTCCCCTGGCAACTGTTGCTGTTTAGAACATTCTTCCTTGTTTCCACCACATGCTAAGCAAGCAGCTCAGCTGTCTATCAGTTGAATAAATATTTGTGAAGGGGGACCGCATGCCTTGAATTGCGATCAGTGCCTCGGGGGATGCAGAAGCAAGTAGGAGGGAAGAAGGAAGGGAACTTGTGTGGTAGTGAGGCCACTCAGGAAGAGGAAAAGAGCCAGCATGAACACCAAGCTTCTACACATGGGGAGAGGCCCTGCAGGTCCCAGAGTAGGTCCTGGGATTGGTGGGGATTGGTACATGCAGAGCCGGTGTGGTCTAAAGAGCGTACGTGCCTGAAGACTCTGGGTCACGCATGGCCCCACTGCTCCCGCAGAGCCGGGTGGGCAGCTCACCAACTGCTGGGTGTGTTACTCAGAGTGGCAGGCTTCTGGGAGCTCCCATCTCCTCGGAGCTCAGGGATCTACCAGCTCCACTCAGCCCGTAGGGGGCGACACATCCTCTCATTCCCCATATTAGACGTTCAGTACTCAGATCCGGGTCTCCTCAGTGGCCCCCGCCCAGGATTCCGGCTCGGTACACCCCAGTGCCCTGAGAGGTTGGACCATGAGGTCTTCCTAATGTCAGGTGTGAGTCCTGCAACACGGTGGTCTCAGGCGCAGAATCCTGCAGTGGAAGACTCAGCTCAACTCAGACCGCTGCTCCCGAGTGGACTCTTGACCGGGAGCCTCCTTCCACTTGTGGGGTCAAGGAGACATCTGAGTTGCAGTTCTGTGTCCATGGTCATCCTCAAGCCTAAAGCAAAAGGTTCCTTCTGTGCCCTCCCCCAGGCCATGTTCAAGGGGAGGGAAAGGCATCAGAGCCTGGCTGGTGGAGCGGGGCCAAGAGGCTGGAGAAGGCAATGTCACGAAACTGCTTGCTTCGGCACAGGTGTGATGCCTCCTGAGGCCAGGGGCGACTTTCTGTCGTGGTCCCATGATGGTGCTCGGTGCATGGCTCCTGGCTGGTGAGGAAGGAGAGTACAACAAAGGTGACTTTGCCGACCTGGTTCACCATCTTGCTTTTGTGTGGCTTCTTCTTGCCTTTTTTCCATCTGTCATGTCCAAGTGTCATCTAGCAGTGGTTGAGAAAGCCTCACTTTGGAGAAGGGTGTGTAAGAGCGCCCCCCTCGGGTGCTCCCATGAAGTGCAGAGATCGGTGTGAAGGGAAAGGTGGACTCTGAGCAGGTGGAGGGAATCCTTCCCTACGGAGGACAGACAACGCTTCTACCTTGCCTCCTGCAGGCTGGCTGCTCACGAGGGCTGAGGGCAGGCCTGGGCACTGTGCACTCCCAGCCTGGAACCCCAGGAAATGGACAAATTGCAGGAGAGTGACTGCAGTACAAGCTGGAGTCCCAACTGGTGGCATGTGCTGGGTGGTATTAGGAAGCACAGACTGGGGCTGGGAGTGGCCCAGTGAGCTAGTGGCCTGCCCTGTGCTTTCCGCATATGCAGCTTCTGAACCTGCTCTGGTGGAGGTGCTACTGCCACAGTTCCAGGGTGACAGCATCCTCTTCTGGTGAGAGCCAGGTAACCCAGGCTCTGCTGCGGGCTCTGCTGCTGCTGGGGCCTGAAAGCCAAGCACATCCATTCAGCAGCGCAGTGCTGGCTGACTGCCCGCTGGGTGCCTGGGCTGGTGCTGGGCACAGAGTAAGGCTGGCCTGACCTCTCTCTCCCACCTTTCCTTGTCTTAGAAGCTCCAGGTGGAAAGCACCTTGCAGGCCATCCCGACCAACCCTTCCCCGCAGCCTAGAGCTGGGAAGAGTTCAACCCCAGAAGAGTAACAAGCGGGAGGAAGACACATGGGCCTTGAGCCTTTCTAGGACCCCAGAATTTTCTGCCTGGCCCAGTTGTCAAGGCCTTGGCATCCTCATCCATGAAACAGGTGCAAGAACAGTGCAGCAGCTTCTGTGTCTCTGTGACCGATGCTTTGCACACAGCACCTTGAACCCCCATGATAGACCTCTGAGGCTGGCCTTATTCTCCTCATGACTAAGGAGGGCACTGAGGCTCAGAGAGGTTAAGCAAGGTGGCCATGGTCACACAGGTAGGGAGAGGAGAGATGGGATTCAGACCCAGGTGCCTTGCCTTCCGTCCTGCTGTGCTGTGAATGGTGACAGGCCCGTGTATGATGGGCAAAACTGTCTGACATGGAAGTCCCAGGGTCTGCAGCAAACTGTCCTGCAGCGGAATGCTCTGTCTTGGCCCAGGGAGGGGAAGGAGGGGCAGGTGGAGTTCGGTCTTCTCTAATGCCTCAGATCTTTCCTTTCCTGCTAAGAGGTCTGAGAATCAGGCAGAGCTGGGCTTGACCCCAGCTTTGACTCTCCCAGCCATGCCTGAGTCTCCCCATCTGTAAAATGGGGTCAATCACAAGCACTTCACAAGGTTGCTGGGAGGACTGCCCACAGCGACCTGCTAAAGGGTCTGGCCAGCAGCAGATGCTGTGCTAGTGCTTTTGGTTTGGATGTGGAATGTTCTTGTTTCATCCAGGCCTTATCTCTTCTTTCTTTCTAGGGGAAAAACACTAGGTTTCTGTTTGGTTTGTTTTCTTTTCCCCATGCAGAGGTTTCTGTGGACTCTGTTGGTACTTCCCCTCAGGCTAAGGTCGTTAAGGTGAGCCTTATGGGATAAGACACCTGAGTTCAAAGAGCTGCCCCATAAGGGCTAAGCACCTCCCTGAGTTCTGAGATCCTGCACTCTCCTGGTCCCAGGTTACCTAGCAACAGGCAGCTGGTGGGGAGTGCTGCTGTAGGTGAGCAGGGGAGGGGAAGGGAGGAAGCAGCTTAGCCTGTCCATCCGTGTCTCTAAGTGCCCCTAGAAATGAATGCAGGGAATGGTCTTCACCAAGCCCAGGGGCCAACAGGCTTGGGGAGGGGACAGCTGCTGTCCGAGGCCTGCAAGGCAGTTATCCCTCCTTTGAGCGGGCTTACATAAGCCCTTGGCACTGGCAAGGACTTTAAGATCACCTGGTACCCACCCCCCTCTGCTCACACATGCACACACGTGTTGTGGGGAGGAGGCAAGCAGTCGGGGGCAGAGGCCAGTTCCGGCCGCCTGTACCACCGTCACCTCAATCCCCAGGCCTCTGATGTCTCCCACCTACCAAGGGGAGAAGGCAGAAGTGGTAACTGCTGAAGTTTGGTTTCTCATTGCCTGGAAAGGGTTGTGCACAGCAGCCTGTGCTCATGGTCATGTCGCTCTCTTCCTGCCCTAGCCCTCTGTCTCCCTCTGAAATCATCTCATTACTTCTTTGTTTACTTATGCATCGACCCCTGCCTGCACTCCACACCAGATTAGAATGTAAATTCCAAGAGCAGAGGAAGCCTGTCTGCGTTGGGGCTCCCTGGTGTCTGGGGTAGTCTCCTTTAATTGGTTCCACAGCCCGAGTAATCTCACCCAGTTAAGGCCCATGGGTGATGGAGAGTGAACCCGTGTCAGGAACCAGAGACTGGGGATGAGAAACACAGTCCTTGGATTGAAGGAGCTTGTGCTGGAGGGAAGACAAGAGACAGGTTCAGACGGGGCGAGTGCTCCGAAGCTGCTCGAGCACGGTGATGGGCTAGGGAATGGTGAGGTCTGGGCACGGAAGGGCGCTGAGGAAAATCCTCATGGAGGAGGACTGGAGGCCTCAGAGCCAGTGAGGCTGGAGTGCAGATCCACGCAGATGTGCTGCTGGGTGGTGCCCAGCTTGGAGGAGAGGCTCACCCTCTGCTTCAGTGGCAAGGGAGCCACCCGTGTGTGTCCTGAAGGGGCATGAGGTGCTCTGACTTTGCTGTAGAAAGAGCACTCCAGCTGCTGTGCACAGTGGGAGGGGAGCGTGGCGGAAAGAGGAGGTCCTGTTAGGAGGCTAGGTTTCGAGTACCAGGGAGGAGTAATTGTAGCTTGAATCAAGGCGGTGATAGAAAGAACAAGGAGAAGCGCTAGCTGCTGGGTGTGCTTCATACCAGGGCTTGAGGTATGAGGATTGAAAAGGCCGACTTGCGGCACTTGACCTGAGCCGTCATAGAGGAGCCATGTACCCAGCTGATGAGGATGGGAGAGCTAGGTCTCCAGTGGAACCAGTAAGTGGTGCTGGGACCTTTAGTAGGTGGGGCCTGGAGGGAGGTCGTGAGGTCACAGATGCTGCCTTGAGAGGAAGTGACTCCACAGTGCTGGGATCCTGTGCTCCTAAGTTCCCGCAAGAGGGTTGTTATTAAACAGCAAGCCTGGCCCCTCCTGGCTCCCTGGGGATGGGCTCCCTGCTCCTGGTGCTGCTCTGGGAGGGACAGGGACAGGGGTGTGCTTAGGAACCAGCTCAGAGCAGAGACCCTGGGGAGCTTGGGCTCCATAGATGAGGATAGATCTCACGGATGGAGAGGGGGCGTGGGAGGGCAAAGGTGGTCCAGGTGTGGCAGGGTGGGGGAGGAGCAGCGTGAATGTTCTGGCACATTCTGGAGCGCGAGTGACAAGGGGCAGCTGAAGCGTGGGGTAGTGTCATCGGCTTTAAGAAATTGTGCTTCCAGACAGGAGTGGGAGGACAGCTCCAGCAGGAGTGTGGGCCTTCTAGAGGGAGGATGGCAGATAAACAGGTGCAGCCAGTGCTGGACCATAGGAGGAGTGTCGCTTCTGCCCACGGGTGGAGCCAGGACAGGTGTCTTGCAGTGCTTGCAGGGCTGGGCCTCTGCTGAGGGCTCTGCAGCTGGGAGCAGCTGCCCTGTGAGCCCAGCACCATCCCAGGGAGGAGGTGTGGTTGTTGGACTCTGTCATTTCCACCACCATCTTGGAGAGCAAGGCATCTGGGGGCCCCCTTCTACCTCTCAATTTCACAAAGAGAGTAGAGTTACATAGAGGGGAAAAACTGTGCTTCGGCTGGTGTGTGTGTGTGTGGGTCTCTCCCATGGGATGGGGAGCAGGCAGCTAGAAACAAGAGGCCCTCTGGCCCTTTGGCCCACCGACTGCTCAGGTTCAAGGATTCAGCCCCTCCATGCAGCGTGCCCTCCCCTTCCCCTCTGTATTTTTTTTTTTTCTGGGCTTCTCTGCAGTGCTGTGGATGTCCAGATGTTCTGAAGAAGGGGCTGAGGATGAAGGAAAAGGACTCTTGCTTGGGTTCTTCCCTTTCTGTCCTCAGCCCTTGGCCCCTGCAGCTCCCTGGTCTCCCCAGCCTTATAGCCGAGTGCTAGGATGAGAAGGGCCCTTGGTGACCCTGTGTGTCTCTGCAGGTAGATGCACCCTGGGTCCCGTTGGCAGCTGCCTCTGCGGGATGAAGGCCTGCGAGTGTGACAAGCAATCTGCGTACTGCTTCAAAGACAGCCTGCCCACCTATGAGAAAAACTTCAAGCAGTTCTTCTCCAGCCGGCCGAAGTGCAGCGGACATAAGCGCCAGTGCTAGGGAAGTCACTGCGCTTCGTTGCTGTTGCTCCCCTGTCTGAGAAGCCACCTCCTGGAAGCCTGAGAGGCTCCTGTTCTTGTAGCTTCTCCTTCACCATCGCCACCCCCTTAGGTGCACCCCTCACTCCACACTTGAAACCCAGAGCTCAGAAACGGAGAGGCACACACACTCTTGGGAGGGAGACAGAACAGAAATACCTACTAAATAACAGGTACTTCCACACAGTAGTCAGGGCTATGAAGCAACAGAGCAAAGCCACAGAGTACAGACATCCCTAACCACCCTTCCAGGAAGGTTCTAGGATGCGCAAAGCCCCTGTATCTATCCCAAACTCTCCCTCCACTCCCACCCCAAAGCAGGATTTGGGGCAGATTTGGGAACTCCACCCATGACACAAATCTGGTTGGGAACCGAGGAGAGATCCTGAGAGGCTCTTGGAGTTTGGCTCTGACTTGCTCAAAATCTGCCCTCTAAACTCACAGGTAGAGACAAAAATTGATGCCCATTTCATGTCTCCAGAGCCAGAGCACCACGAGCAGGCTAGTCCCCGACTGCCACTGCCATGTGGGTGTCCTGGCCGAGGGTGCTGTACTCACTGGTGAATTCATCTCTTGAGAAGTCTGGTAGCTGACTGTGCTGTTAGGTGGTAGGGTCTGGTGGGAGCCCGGTCACAGGGTTGCTAGTGGAATGCTGTATCCTCGCTCCGGGCTTCTCCCTTGCCTTTCTGCTTCCTGGCTGCCATGGTTGTTGGATACCTCTCCTCCACTGTGCTCTTCCGTATGCATGGCTGCCGATGTTGGAGCCAAATAAACCCTAGGTCCTTTGAAGTTGTGGGTGTCAGGCATTGCGTCTCATCCATGAAGAAGTGACTAATCCACGGTCTAATCTGGGTGGATTCTGAGGTGTACAGCGCTCAGCTGGAACGGGAAGTGGCGAACCTGGCACAATCGTTCCACTTGTTCTTACCTCTTAGCACTTGTCCTTTACACTACGAGGCTCAGCTTTTCCTATCAAGGAGTACATGCTCCTGTCCCAACTCCAGCAAAGCCAATTCATGGTTGGCCACAAACTCCTGAGAAAGCCAAGTGGAGACAAAGGCAGCCGGCCAGCCAGCTGAGACCAGGTGAACTCCGACACACAGCACTGTGAGCTGTAAAGGCTGATGCTTTAAGCTTCGATGCTTTGGTGTGACCCCTTATGATGCAGTACCTAATAGATGGGAATAGTCTCTGATCACTGAGATGCAGGGTTCTCAGCACTGTATCAGGCATGGAGGCCAGTGAAATGTGACATGGCTCCTGCTCCTTCCCTGGAGGTACGGGAGGAGGGGTCTGACTTGAATAATGATGGGGAACACGCGGATTCGATCAGTAGGTCACCCAGCACACAGTTACTAAGCATTTGCTACATGTTGGAAACTGCTAGGTAGCAAGGATTCAGAGACTTAAAGAAAACACACACATAGGAAGTCAGATTTTAAAATTCTAGGGACCCAGCACTTGGGAGGCTGAGGCAGGAGGATCGCTACAAGTTTGAGGTCAGCCTGGGCTACAAAGTGAGTTCACTGCATAATGAAACCCTGTCTCAAAAAGACAAAGTAAAGTAAAATGAAATAAAATAAAGTGAAATGAAATAAAAATCCTATGGAGAATATGCTGAGGACCAGAGTGACTTTTTTAAAAATATATATATATATTTGCTATAGGGTCTCACTACGCAGCTCAGACTCATAGTGATCCTCCTGTTTTCAGCCTCCCCAGTGCTGGGATTACAGGCCTGTGCCACCATGCCCAGTTTCTGTGGCTGGCTCAGTGGGCCCAGGGGCAGGGCCTGCATGGCACGTGTTATCAGGGATCAAACCAGGGTCCTTGAACTTGCCAGGCAGGCACTTGGACTGCTGAGCTATCTTGCCAGCCCCAGAGTGGCTTTAGAGCTCTGACATAAAATCTGGATTGGGAAAGTAAGAAGTGTGAAGACAGAAAGGGAAGCAGGAGGGGTACAGTCTCAGGAGCTCTGGGAACCAGGGCCCGTGGCTTCTGCCTGGCTCAGCCTGTGGTTGTGGTGTTCCTTCTTCCACCTACGTGTGTTTAGAAAGCGCAGCTGCAGAAGGAACCCCGGGGGCCTGTGAGCACCAGGAAGAGTCTGAGTGGCTGGAGCGGGCTGAGTGGGGGAAGGACAGGCATGGAACCAGGGTGAGCAGGCTGAACCAGCCGTACCTTCCCAGCTGGAGCGTCCTGGTCACACCAGGATCTGCCCTGTTCTGGGAAGGTATCGGGCTGACAGTCATGATGGAGAAAGAGGGGCCAGGGTGAGGCCCAGTGTGGGGCATGGGGACTCCAGTGCGAGATCCAGGCTGTCTCTTCTATTCCCAGGGCCTGGCTCTGGATCTGGTAGTGGAAGGGATGGGGCATGTGAAGCCCATGGTAGCATGTCCTCACTCTAAGGAATGAGCCGGGGCTATCCAGTGGTGACTTCTTGCTCCTTGAGAAATCTCACTGTCCTTAGAGGGAAAGGATCCATATGTACAGAGGATAAACTCCAAGCCAGGCCTTGGCTAGGGGCAGAGAGGTAAAGGTACATCGTATTCTAAGGGGTGTGAGGTGGGGTGGAGGGTGACGTGACACAACAGACAGATGATTGCGGAGCATGCTAGGAATGGTGGAAGTGGGGTCAGCGTGGGAGCCATGACACTGCCCAGGAGGACCAGGAAGACTTAGTCAAGGAATGCTGCACAAGGAAGAGAAGTTAAGAAGGCCAAGTGGGGGTGGGCAGCACGTCCTGGATAGAGCGGCTGAAGAGAATCCAACAAATGCAAACCCAGCCTCCTCATCCACCTCCCTCCCGCCTTGCAGCAGAGCGTCCTTTCTCCATGTTGGCCCCTCTAGGTCAAAAACCAGGCTGCTAACTTTGCCTTCTTAAATGCCACACCCACATCCAAGCTGTTGGCATAACCTTCCCAAGCCATCTAGATTCTGAAATTTTACAGAACGTCTGTCAAATGTCTATGTGGAAAGGAAAAATAAAATGGAAAAGTCTAGAATCTGGCTGCTTCTTACCACATCCCCTGTCTCCCGCCATCTTAGGGTCAAGGTGCCGTTGCCTATGCTTTAGTTACTGTGCCTGGTCCTAATCACAGTCTCTCTTTCTGTATCCACCCTCAGCCCGCAGCCTTCTCCACATAACAGGCCAACGGGATGACTGGATCTACCATTCCACCCCATGCTTATGTGCCAATGGCTTCTCCAGCTCCACGTCTTTTCAGAACTACCTACCTACACCTGCCTTGGTCTTTCCCATCCTCTCTGATTTATCTTAAGTTCTTTTTGTCCCACCCAATGTGCCATACCCCTGCCTCTAGTCCTCTTAGTGGTCCGTCTGCCCCACTAAAATAGGCACTCATGACAAGGATCTTTGTCCTTTTCAAAAAATATCTGATGTGTTCATGGAGGAGGAGGTCAAGAGAGCCTAGAGAAGGCAAAGGAAGTAGCTGAGTGGGGGCCATGAAAAGCTGTAGAGGAAAAGAGTTTAGAACTAGAAAAAAAAAATGAGGAGCAGGATCTCAACAAGAAGAGTTGTGGTAGCTCAAGAACCTGGCTGGGACCCCAGAGTCAGCAGTGTCTACAATGTCCTGAGCTTTGCTTTGCTCTCCCCATGTATGATGGCCTCAGCCAGCCCAGCCTCCTGGAGCTTCTGGGTCCTTGGGATTGAGATGGGCAGCTGAGATCATAGCGCTGAATCCACAAGGAGGATGCACCCAGTGGGAGCCAGGGCTCGTGCCATTGGCTCCCTGTACTGCATGCACTGTGTTAGAGGCTTTAAAACCCAATGTGCTCTTACAGCAGCTCGCTAGAGTCCATCCAGCCATGGTTCTCGAGGCCTGGATGAAGCTGGCCGGTGTGAGGGTGCTGCAGTAGTGATCTCTCCATGGAGGGCTTGTTTGGGGGTTCCGCATCTCACCCAGAGGTGGATGCTGCTTTTCATGGCTAACTGCATGTGGGAGCTATAGGAGGCAAACTCGCTTTTCCCCGCCTCATACCAGGGTGCCGGAAAAGTCAGGAAGAGCATGAGTGTTGGGGTATGTGACCATATGGACGTGGCCTCCAGCCCTGCATGGGACAGCCAGGCTGCTGAGGAGTGGGTGGCTGGGTCTGTGGGCCGCTGACTGTATAGACTGATGGCTTAGGCTGTGGGCCAAGCATTCTTGAAAAAGTTTCAGCGGTGTGATCCAACCCCTGAGAGGCGAGGGTGGGGGATGGGGCATCCAGATGTGTTCTCCAACCTTGGTAGTTGGAGGGGCCACATGGAACACCCAGTCCCCAGACAGATGCCATTGAAATCCCCAACCCACTGAGACTTGGAGCAGTGAAGGCTTGCCCGAGGCCACACAGCCAGCAGACTGCAGAGCAGGCATTTGGACCCAGTGCCAGCTGACTGTCCCTCTGGGCTCCTCTCTGCAGGCTTGTCCCAGAAGAAACAGAACAGGGAAGACCCTGGAGAGGGAGAGCTGGGTGGCTGCCCCCAGGGTCACTGCAGGAAGGGCCCTAGATTCTGGTCCTGGCTGGGGCAGCTGAAGTGAAGACAGTAGAGGGAGGGACCTATCTCCTGTGAAGGCAACTGTGGTGAGAAGGATCTCACACGATCCTCCTTTTCTCTCTGGGCCTTGGTTTCCTCATGGCAGTGAACATGGATACTTGTGTGCCCTTTCCTCTTCCTGGGGTGCTTTCTGGTCTGTTGTCATAGTGACTATTAGAGCCCAGACATTGTTCATGTCCCTTTTACTGATGAAAATGGAAAGCTAGTGAGGACTAGGGCTTTGTCGCCAGTGGTCCCCTCATGTGTGGTGGGCTGGGCAGGCAAACCACATCTGATTTTGAATCTCCTACGTCCCATCTCCTTGCATGGGATTGGGGGAGGCAGGATGTCAAACCAGAAGCTTTCTAAGGTTAAAGCTTAAGAATTGGAGTGAAATCCTTCCTGACCTTGAGAAATTGACTTAGTGCCTCTGTACCATGGTGTCTTCAGAGAGTGGCTAAGAGGGTGGATGACATGAGATGACACACACGAAGCTCAACACAGTGTCTGGCATGTAGTCTGTGCTCTATTCATCCTGCTTTCTTTCTCCTGTTGGCCCTGATGGCCTGGGGTCCTGGACCCTTGCCCAGCAGGATGCCCTTGTCAATGTCACATATTATCTATTTCTCTAGCTCTCTACTGATGGCTCTTTATCTCTTTCTATCAACTCATCTTGCTGCGCACTCTGGCCTCCCGATGCCAGAAGCTTTGGTGTCTTTCTCTTCAGGTGTCATAGTTGGTGGCATTGGCTGCTTGTTGCAAGGCACAGCTGGGGAAGCTGGGGAGGAAAAGGCTGCCTCTCCACAGTCGGGATCAAGGCTGGGCTAAGAGAATGACGGCTTTGGGGCCCAGCTGAGGCTAGGCTCAGGTTGGGTGCCAGGGCTGGGGCTGGGCTGCACCTTGGGGACAATAAATGCCCTCAGAATGTTGCTTCTTTTGTTCTTCTTCCTCCCCTTCCACCTTCCTTCTCCTCCTCCCCCCTTCTTCCTCCCCTCTTCTTCCTCTGCCTCCTTCCACTTTTCTTCCCCACTCCCCTCCTCTCCTGCCTGCTCCCTTCCTCATTTTTACCCCTCCTTCCTCCTCTCCTCCTGCCCCCCTTCTCTCTCCTTTTTTTTTTTTTTTTTTTTTTTTGTGTGTGTGTTTTTTTTTTGGCGGAACCGGGGATTGAACTCAGATCCTTGCGTTTGCCAGTCAAGTGCTTATCCTACTGAGCCATCTCCTGGCCCCTCTCTCTCCTTTATACCCACCTTCTTGCTAAGCTACAGCTTTGGTTCTGCCAGGTTTCTGTTCGAGGCAAAAGGTCATAGGCAATAAGCTTCCCCCAGCAGCTCCTCCTACCTGCTCCTCTGGCCAGCCTGACCCTGAGGACCTCGGCCCCCCACATGAGCCAGGCCCTCCAGAGGCTCATCTCTGACTGTCTGTCTTCCACGCCAAGGCCTGGGCCACAGCGTTTTCAACGCCCAGACCTCTCACCTCTGCGCTGCACCTCGGTAGTAACCACATTGTTCAGAAGGGGCGAAGTGGAGGGACAGGAGGTGAAAGGAGTTCCCCAAGGCCACACAGCCCGCGAATAGCAGGGAGCTGGGAGGGAAACCCCGTGTGCTCAGCGCTTCAGGGGTTGCTCTTTGTGCATGCTGTTGGTGATAATAATAATACGCTACAGGAGGTCCTAATGATTTCCTTGTTTCTGCTGGGCAGGGTCGGCCTGGGGCAGGGTCTCTTCTGAGCAGAGGGTGAGAGGTGTAGAGCAGCACCGGTGGTGAGCTTTGATGTCCACTAGGTGGCGCCCGGATTCTAGAAAAGGGAGGGTCCTGAAGCTAGGCCAGAGGAAGAGGGAAGAAGGGGTGAGTCTCTCGGAAGAGGGAAAGATGGATGGGCCGGGTCTGGGAAAGATGGTAGCCCGAGACCAGAGAGGAACAAGGACAGCCCTCTCCTCTATCCTCAGCGTGGAAAACCTCCCCAACTTGGAAAGAGTGAACAGAAGTTCTAGAAAGGAGAGACTCCCTCAGGTCAGGAGCCTCTCGCAAAAATATGGCTCCTGCTTCTCCCCACGCCCTCAAGGAGACCCCAGATACCACCCAGGTCCACCCTGATCACCTCTGGGGCACCTTGGGGACTGCCACATGGACTCGGGGTGTCCCTGTGTACTCTTCACATCCCATGGCACCCATGGAAAGGAGATGAGCTCCCGAGTCCGCGTCCCCTCCCAGCCCTCCGTATACTCAGCTCACAAAACCTGGTATCAGGCCGGTGAGATAGCTCAGCGGACTAAAGCATCTGCTCAGGAGAGTTGAGGCAAGAGCAGGGAACGCAGTTCGATCACTGTCACCACGTGCCGCGCCACCCCGGCCCCAGGTGTGGTGGCGCAGGCCTATAATCCCAGCGCTAGGGAGACTGAAAGAAGGAGGCCCACCAGGAGTCTGAGCTGTGTAGTGAGACCTTGCAACAACCAAATACATTAGAAAAGAAAGAAAGAAAGAACGAAAGAAAAGAAAAAGAAAAAGAAAGGCCTAGTCTTGCGCTCACTGCCCCCCGGTGGGACCACAGGCCCAGTGCCCTTAGCTGTGGCAGCCCTTTGCAGCCTTCCCAGCCTGTGTCTCTTCTGCAGCAGGCTGCTTTCCCCCAGGCAGGGGGCTGGGGGAGCCAGATGTGCCAGCTGTGGAGTGAAGCTGTGGAGTGACAAGCAACCTGCTTTCCCCAGGGCTGAAGACTCCATGGGGATTCCTGTGCCCACTGGGCCCTGGCCAAGGAGGACCCAGCAGAATAATCTGGGGCAGAAGGCCTTTATTCATTTGAGGAGGGAGTGCCGAGTCATGTGGAGATTCTTAGGGGCTGCAGCATCTGGGAGAGTCTGGGGTGAGGAAGGGGGTGGAGGGACCCCATAACTGCAGAACCTCCTCCACTCATGCAGGTAGGGATCTTCAAAAGAGGAGACTGTGCCTGGGTGGATGGCCTACAGGGCAGGGGCCAAGACCCTGCAAGAGGCTTAACTGTCCTGTCCATCCCAGTGCTGCCCTGGCTCAGTGGGGCTGGGCCTTGGCCTCTTGGCCAGCTGAGGCGGGAGGAGGAGGAGGCTTGCTGGGTAGACTCCTGAAAGGGCAGAGGAGGAAGCTCCCGTGACTGGGCAGGTTGGGTTACACCACAGCCAGAAAGAGGTGGGCCCCGGAAGGGCTCTTTCCAGTCATAGCCCCTCCCCCCATGTCCCAGCGCTGCTGTTCTAGAATCTTCTGTATGGCACTGTAAAACCTCTGGCCCATTCTGCCATCTTCTTTGTAAACGTCCCTTCCTGCTTCCCTCTCCATCCAAGCTGGGTTCTCTTCCCCAGTGACAGTGGCCCCTACAGCACTGCTGATCAAGCTGAACTTCCTTCCTGGTGGCTCTTGTCAGGGTCCAGGCAGGGGATGGCTTGTGGGACTCCTCAGGATTGCCACAGATGGAGACAGAAGGAGGTGCCAGGCAGAGTTATAGGGTGGAGTTCCTGTCCCAGCCAGGGCCAGAGACCTGGAGAAAGAGTGCTGGGCACAGGGGGCAGGCAGGCTGCAGAGCCAGGCACCTCTGCCAGCACCCTAGGCGCCTCCATGCCACCACTGGCTGTCTCCTGCCTGCCTCCCTCTTCCCACACTGCCCCCTCTGCTGCCTTCTGCAGGGCCCTCCAGCCTCCTGCTTTGGCCTCTCCCGCCCACTTTTCTGTCCCTCTTCACTGAGTGGGTCTCACCCTCAGCCTCTTCTGGTGGACAGGACTCCTGACACCTGGCTTCTCCCTGCACTGGGACAGAGGGTCCATGTCCTGTGATCCAGCCTGTCTGCCTTGGTGCAGACAGGAGGGCTGGCCCTGGCACTGTGTGCTGGAGGGTGCTCAGGGTACTCCTCAGAGCAGGTCAGAGCAGGGCACATCTCTTGTGCACCTGAGTCAGAGGTCAGGGAGAAGAACTGTACAGGGAGGCCTGTCCCTGGCAGCCCTTCCTAGTTACTGTGCACTCTGGCCAGTGTCACCTGCTCTGGGGATCTTGCACCTCGGGGCTGGAACCTCCTTTTTGTGTCTGGGCTGGGACTCCTGTACCACCTCTATGAGTGTGGGGCCAGGGGCACCTGCTCTTAATAGGACTCTAAAGTGCCACAAGTCCCTGAGGTAGAGAGGAGCCATCCTGAGCCAGGTCTGTCCTGGTAGCCTGGAGAGGCTGTTTCACAGACGCTGGAGTCACCCTGGGACCAGCAAAAGACTCATCCTTCCTTCTCAAGTCTTGCCCTCCGCACTCTGGAGAGACCCCAATAAGCCTTTGCTTCCTCCCAGGGCCAGAACCAGCAGTAGAAAGAAGCCCCCACTCTAAGACTGAGCTGGAAGAGCTGGTGGCATCTCTATAGGGCTCTGGGGAGGGGACAGCAGGGCACCACTGGGCTCAGACCTGGCCACCTCCATATGCTCCTTCTGTCTGGCCCCCCAGCCAGATGTTCCTCCCTCTCAGACCTGGCTGTCAGACCTCAGAGGTGCTGGGGCAGGGAAGGGGCTGCTGGGGAGCCGTATCCACATGTGACCTCTTCTGGGAGTGGGTCATAGATGCTGCAGTTTGGCGTGGGGCCCTTGCAGTAGATGTTCAGGTAGCCACGGTACTCCTGCCTGTATACCCGGTTCTTGAGGCACAGAGCCACGTTCTTGTCACACTCGCAGGTCTGCTTGTCACACTCTGTCTTGTTGAGCTCACCTAGGGATAGGCAGGGGCTTTCACTGATGGAGCAGCAGTCACACAAGGGTGCAGGACAGGGGGATGTGGACTTGAGAGCCCAGTGGCCCTCAAGGTACAGCCCCAGCCCAGCAGCAGTACCACCACCCTGGGTCCTGTCCGAAGCTGGGGTCGGCTACCCTGCAGAGAGTCCTCCGTTTACTGTGACCAACCCGGCAGGGACTTGTCCAGGCTAAAATCTGGAAACCAGGGCATTGTACAGTTGGAGCAACAGAGGCCCAGAAAGAGGGTGTGTTCTCAGTCACCCAGAAAACTAAAGGCCCACCCCTGCCAGTAAGCCTGCTCTTTCTCCTCTCCTGGTCCCCTCCCTTCAGTCCCAGGGTCAGAACACCAGGAGGGAGTGACTGGTAAGGACTGAGTGGCAACAAGTAGTACTTATGCTAATTTGTGCTCATGCTTATTAGTACTAATGCCAAATGCTCGCTTATGCTAATTCTTAATGTTATGCTAATTCTTAATGCTATGCTAATGTTAATGTTACACTGACATTTAATATTTAGTGTCAGCTTGTCCCCATGCAATATTTGGGATGTGCTTCTTCATTTTTCATGGTTTTCATTGCTGGTTTTTTGCATCATTTGCCTGAAATCCCAAAGCAGTGGGGCACACCACAGGATAAGACTGATGTAGGGAGTGACTCACTGCAGACAATCACAGTGTCATTCTCGATCACATAGTCATAGTGGTCCACATAGGGGTGGCAGCCCTGGTCACAGACCTTCTGGTAGCAGCAGTCGTGGGCATGGCAGCACCTGGGGGTGGGCAGGGGTGAGTGGGCAGAGGTGGCCAGCTGGTCTGTCTGTCCCTTCTCCCCAGCAGAGACCTCAGATCGTCTATCCCTGTCCCTCATGAGACCTTTCAGACCATAACCCACAGAAGGACAGCTACTTGCTTGAAGTCACACAGCCAGAGCTGGGGTTGCTCTCCTGGGTTCATGTCCTTATTCTCACCTCTTTTTCCCGTCCTCAGAGTTCTCAGTTTCCCCAGCTGGAGCTCAGCTACAGTTGCTGAGGTGAGGGGGCCCAGAAATGAGTCAGGAAGGGAAGATTTGGGCTTAAGTCCCTGCGGAGGAGCTCTGACTGCCTACAGAGGCTCCCCCTGCTGGGCCTGAGATCCAGGGAGGGCTAAGGTCTGGGGGGTCAGAGGACACAGCGAGGTGGGGGGACTGGCAGCGGGTGTCAAGTGGTTTCCCCCAGTGCCTCTGACGTTGATGGTCAGCATACATTTATTAAGCTCCCAGCGTGGCCGGACCAGGAAGTGGCTGCTATCAGGGAGACCCAAGCAGGAGCTGTGGCGGAGGAAGCACAGCCCTGCTGAGTCTCCAGTTCAATGGAGCAGGTGTCATGGCCTTTATTGTGTGACTGTCACTCCCTTGTACACTTGGGGACCCATCAAAGGCTCCGTGCACCTCTGTGACCCAAGACATTGGAGAAGGACAACAGAAAATATCCAAGACGTGGAGGCAGGGCGTGGTTAAAAAAACAGGCTCCTCCCTGCTCACATCAAATAAGGCCTGTGCTTTTGGGATGGGGCTTTCTTGTCCTCACAGACATGGAGGCTAACATGAACCGTCAGCTGTTCTCAGGTCCTCAGCAAGAGCCCCAACCACCAGCACCTACCAGTCCACTGCGTCTACGGGGTGACCGCGCCCCCCCAGCCCGCAGTAGCAGCCGTAGCCCACGAAGGATGGGATGGCGCTTCTGCCTGTGATGGCCTCCACCATGGACTTGAGGTTGAACAGGCTGCCGTAGGCGGTGGACAGAACTGCAAGGGAACCGGGTGGGGGGAATGCATGAGCCTCACCCATGACTGTCCCTATGGCCCAGGAGAAAGCCCGAGAGGGGGGACAGTGGCAGCAGAACAGTGGAAAGAGGAAACATGTAAGACCCTGGAGACGGTATGCTGCCGATGTCCTGCACTATGCCTCACGCTCCCGAGAAAGCAGAGCATTCATTCTAGCTGAGGGCTTGCCCCACGCCAGGGACTGTCCCGAGCTCTTCCACACACACATGACCCCTGCAGCCCTATGAGTAGTCATCCCATTATACAGATAGGAAGACTGAGGCTGGAGCGATTTTTAAAAACTTGTTCAAGGTCAAGTTAAAAAGCAGTGGAGACAGAACCAGAACCTGAACAGGGAGAGTTCCTCACCCACACCCTTGTGCTGTGCAAATGCTCCTTGATTTACGATGGCACCTTCTGAGAAACCCATTGTAAGATCACCCTGTATATCACTAGCTGGGAAAATATCCAGATTTAAAAAAAGGTTTCTAGTGAATGCATGTTGCTTTTGCACCATCATAAAGTAAAAAAATAAAAAAAATTTAAAAAAATCACTGTAGTCAAGCCATCAAAAGCTTGGGATTGTCTGAGTACGGTCCACAAAGAGGGGCAGCCCATGTGCCTCTGCTCTGGAGGGGGCTTTGCAGATGCCATGTGTGGCTAGGAGCTCCAGGGCTGGGATTCTGGGTCCTTCCGCTCCCTTTCTGGCCTCTGCCTGATGTCTGTGTCCCTAGATAAGAGTCAGGGTCCCCACCTCAGACCTGGAGTTGGCGCACCTCAGGCCTAACTTAGAAAAAGTTCAGAAAAAGCTTCCTATCACAGGCTCAAACTGGCCGGGCACTGGAAGACGTGCACACACACATATTCATGCGCACACGCATGCATGCATACACACTCACACTAATGCATACACTGAGAAAGCAACGGTTCAAGGACACCTCCTGTACCAGTCAGATCCACGCCCTGGTGCTCACCAGGCCCACCCAGCAGGAGGCTGCATGGCCTTGGGGCCTATAGCCTTTCCTGGGGGAAGCCATCCTGCACAGCAGCGGAAGTCACCCTAGCTCCACTTCATGGATGAGAAAATTAAAAGCCCCAAAAGTGGAGGCTTGCCTGGGTCACACAAGTGGCAGAGCCCGGGATGGAATCTGAGCTTGTTGTCCCCAAGCTGGGATGCTAACCAGCATACACTACAGACCCTACCTGCAAGTTCTGCCCTGGGGCTCCTCCAGCTGCACCCAGAGAGTGCCCGCTCAGTGCTTGCCTCCTGCTTCCTCCGTGGTCCCCACTCTGACCTCCTGCATGAACTGAGAAATGTTCTCAGAGAGAAGAAGTTGAGGATTTCATAAACTGGAGGCAGGGTGGACCCCCAAGGGCTACTCTTGCTTCTTGAGTTGTGGTTGTCTGAAACTTCTAGTGATAGAGAACTCACTCACCTCCTCAACCAACTTGGGAGAGCTCAGATGTTTGGAGTCAGACAGGCTTGAAGCAAGCATGACAGCCCCTTGGGGTTCTATTTCCCCATCTGTACAATGTAAGTGACTGTCTAGGCTGGGAGAGACCTGCAGCCAGTGCATGGCTTGGGCCTTGCTCATCCCGGATCCGTGCAGCCCTCATGGCGCCCTCTCTCAGGGCTTGGTGGGGCTCAGGCCTGTCTGGCTATCAGAGTGCAGAAGCCAGAAATACTGGCCTCTCCCACTCCCCACAGTCTTCCTGGGTTTTGCTCTGTGGTTTCCATCATTCACAAAACAAAAAGGGAAAGAGGAAGGACATGGGAGAAGGGAAAGATGACTCTGAAGAGAACGGCTCAGCACCACGGAAGAGGTGCACACATGTGTCCGTGTACATGGAAGAGGCGCACACATGTATCCAGGTACATGCATCCACACACACACTAATGGCTGCACAGAAAGAGCAGTGGTGCATGGCTGGGCTCAGGGCAGTGAGTGAGGACCCTGCCTCCTCTCGTCACAAGCCCTTCTCCTGCATGTACACAGAGGCCTGGCTGGAAAGGGCTGTTGCAGAGAGCGGAGGACCAGGCTGTTCTCCACCCTCTTATTGAGGCCAGTGGAAGAAGACTGTGTGAAGCTGTCTTGGAGGTCCCCACGCATAGGCTGGAAAGTAGGCTTGACCAAGTTCTATGGGGAGCTTGACTTTAGTTCTAAGATCAGAGGACTGGGGACAATGGCTCCCCGACAGGAGCATGATGTTATGGGGGGCCCTAGACCCCTGACTTTCAGCTCCTACAAAGCAACGGACAAGTGGAAACTTACCTGGCCAGACCAAGGGCAGGCTCATTCTCACATCCAGTCTTACACTCACCTGCTTCACGTTGTGTCCACAGGGCTTACGCTTGTGCTCACACGGGCATCGGGCACTCTTACATACTTCACACACCTGCGAACACTCCTATTCTCATGCATCGCAAGTGCGCTCACACACCTGGTCCCCAGGAGAGAATCGGTGGCCGGAACTGAGGTCACATCCAGATGCACACTCCAGGCAGAAGATGCCCAGCCTGTGTTCAGTCCCGCTGAAGGCTCTTGGGCTGGACACAGCCATAGTTTTCTAACTGATAGGTTGCCGAGTTCATACGCAAATAGCCCTTCCTCATGTCTGGTTACAAACCATGAGAACCTGCAAGAGGTTCAGGCCACATTCCACACACCCAAGGAACTGCTGGGGGAACACGAAGGTGTGACGTGGAGCCTGAGTTGTCTCAGGAGCCGCACTTGACAATCCTGTAGGGCAGCTGCCCCCACCTGGGATGATCAGAAGACCCCTGACCCTTGGAAAGGATCCCACAGATGCACACCCACCTTTGTGCAGAGTTGTGTGCATCTTACGTTCGCACTCACACCCTGGAGACACATGCCACAAGTAATGCACACTCACACTGACCCATAAATAGGCCCGCACATTGGGTGCCAACCCTGACACACATTTTATACACACATGCTGCACACATAGACATTCCCATGTGCTCTGACACACCCAAACAATGTACCGGCCCATATCTAGCTGCACACAAACTCATTAACTCCTTCAGACACGTACACATGCTTAAGTACACACATGTTCGCCAGTACCATCGCTTTACAATGCTTGCTCAGCAATGTGCCCTGCTCCCTCACGGCTCGTAAACGCCAAGGCCCCTGGCGTGTTTACGGCTGGCTGAGGAGTAAATAGTCCCAAAGGAGAGGATGACGCCTGACAGGGAAGTAGAAGCCGAGAGAGAGGAAGGAACTCCAGATCCACGGGGCAATAATGCAGGTGCCCAGGGCCATGGAGGGAGGCTGCAAGGGGAGGGAAGAGGGGGCTCCCAGAGCTGTGCTCACCACTGCTGGTCAGGATGGTGATGGCCAAGATCTTCTTCACACCCAGGCTGGACCTGAGAGAGGAAACCTGAGCCTGAGTCTGTGTCCTACCAAGTCCTGCAGTTCCGGGCCTCAGCGCAGGCAGCTCCCGGGATGCTCCTCAATGCACCAGTTGCTGGCACCCAGCCCTGTGTTTAAACTGCACCTGCCTGTCCTAGAGGAACACACCCCAGGGTGGCAAGGCCAGGAGATGCCAGGACCACCTTCCCTCCACTCATCAGCTTCCAAGACAGGGGGCAACCATCTCAGATCAGAGCCAGTTCCTCCCCTTCACACTCTAGGGTGTCCAGGGACCCAGTTATGTGACTCAACCTGGCAGCTGGGGCTTGAACCCAGAGCCAAGAGACCTGGGTTCCTGGATTCTAGTTCTTGCTCTGCTTCCACAATGTTGAATGATCTTGGACAAATTCTTGAGCCTTTCTGGGCCTCCAGTGCTGCAGGAAGATTGACTCAATTTCTCCAAGGCCCTTCTGTGACTGAACATGTAGTGACATTTCTCAGCCCAGTGCTCAGAAACTCAGAGCTCTCCTTTCAGGAGAAATGGATACTAGGAGTCAGCACAGCCCCCATCCATGGCCCGCTCCATCCGGGGGGCAGCAGGCACCTACCTGGACAGTCTCAATGGAGAAGAGGCCCCGAGGCTTGGGTCCTGCCACCCAGAAGACCATCTAACCAGCGCCTTCTTCCTGAACCCTTTGGGGCTGGCCTGAACCCCATCTGCCATGTTCTGGGTCCTGAGGGGCCAGTGACATAGGTCTTGAGATCTTCTTGATGTGCTCTGGAGGTTCTGGGGAGCAGGCCCCAGCTTCACACCACCACGCACACTGGCAGGGTAGGTAGGGCTGGGGCAATGCCCTGGGAAGGAGGCAGGTGACAGATGCCCTAGAAAAAATAAGCTCCACCTCCTCCCTCCCACTGCCACAACCCTGCCCATGGCTATCTGGTGAAGTTCCCATTTCCGGTGTGTGCTGGCTGTGCGGGGGTTTAGGTACCTGACAAAGAGTTGGCTTCTGTGTGTGTGTGTGTGTGTGTGTGTGTGTGTAACAGGAAGTGGGCCCAAAGGTCTCTCTATCCGCATGCTAAAGAAAAAGTTATGCAATGACACTTGTCAAAGCACAGTAGGGTGGAATTTATTCAAAGGTGGGGCATCACGGTAGGCGGAAGACCACTGCAATGGAATCTCATGGTGAGGGGGAGAGACTGGGTTCAAGTCCAAACAGCTGTGAGAAGTAGAGTTTCCAGCTAAGAAGTAAGGTGGGGGTTGGTGAATGGAAGTTTACCAAGAAAAAGCCCAAGGGCTGAGGGGGTTCTTGCTAAACTGACTTAATAGGCTTATTGCTGAAGAGGCTGGAGTGATTGGACACCACCTAGAGGGTGGTGGAGATGAAGGATCTGATCTATCATGAAGGATGATCGAACAGATATAGAGGACAGAGGTTCCGGCGAAACCAACTCAGCAGCATTCTTGCTGAAACTGGGAGATTCAGAGACATGGATGACATCCAGGCCCAGTTGAAGAGAGAGTTCGGGGGGCTAGAGATTGGTCAAGAAGTCTTTTGTCTAAGGAGCCCATGTACTCAAGTTGTCTATCTGGAAGGGAGTTAGTATGGAATCTGTAGCGGGCTCCCCATCTACATCTGAAAGTGGTCTCTACTTATGTGGAAGCAGATCAGTGTCCGCGTCCACCTGGCTAAGACTAGAGCGGTCTGGGCCCACACATCTGGCAGGAAGTACTCAAGTTTACATCTGGAAGGGCCATCCTGCTCCACCTGCCTGGCCTGCCTAGTATAGACCTCCTTTCTCTCTCTTTCTTTCTTTCTTTCTTTCTTTCTTTCTTTCTTTCTTTCTTTCTTTCTTTCTTTCTTTCTT